GAGATTCCTCAGGAAAATGGGAATCAGTCTACCACAAGACCTAGCAATTCTACTCTTAGGCATATACCCAAAAGATGCACATTCATACAACAAGGATGTCTGTTCCACTATGTTCATAGCAGCATTATTTGTAATAGCCAGAACTTGGAAGCAACCTAGATGCCCCTCAACTGAAGAGTGGATAGAGAAAATGTGGTACTTTTACACAATGGCATACTATTCAGCAGAAAAAAACAATGGGATCTTGAAATTTGCAGGCAAATGGATGGCACTAGAAGAAACCATCCTGAGTGAGGTAATCCAGTCACAAAAAGAGAAACATGGTATGTACTCATTCATAAACGGATTTTAGACATGAATCAGGGAAGTGCCAGCATACAATCCCACTGCCAGAGCGCCTGGGAAACAGAACCTTTATCCAGCGACTGATAGAAGCAGAGGCAAATACCCACAGCTAAACAGTGAACTGAACTCCTGGAGAGAACTGATGAGCAAAGGAGTTAAGACTGGGCTGGTTTAACCCACAGAAACAGTTGACCTGAACAAGGGGGAGCTCTTGGACCCCAGATTGATGGCTGTGTGGAAAGCATGGGACTGACCCAGATCCCCTGAATGTGGGTGTCAGTGAGGAGGCCTAGGTAATCTATGGGGCCTTGGGTAGCATTTATCCCTGGCGTAGAAATAGTCTTTGAGTGCCCATCTCACAATGAGGGATGCTCTCTCAGCCTGGACTCTTGTGGGAGGGCCTAAGCCCTGCCCTGGATGAAATGACAGACTCTGGAGATCCTCCATGGAGGGCCTCACCCTACCAGGGTAGTGGAGTGGAGATTGGGTTGGGGACTGTGGGCCTGGTGGTGGGGTAGAGAGGAGGCGAGGGAACTGGGTTTGACATGTCAAACAAGCTTGCTGCAACCTTAAATTAAAAAAAAAAAGAGAGAAACAAAATGAGAAAACAGCATCAATGTTCATTGATTATCTTCTCCTGGGAAGGCTGCCAGATCACATCATCCTCCCAATATGGAAAACCAGAGCTCCTCCTGTTCTGCTTCTCACAGCTTTCACTTTTATTAAAAGAGAGGATTTAGGGCTGGAGTGATGGTTGGTTCCGTAGGTAAAGTGCTTGCACCAAAAAGTTCAGATCCCCAGGCCATGAAACTGGTACCCATAATCCCAGTGCTTAGGAGTAGAGACTGAGGCTCTCAGAGTGCTTCTGACCAGGTAGCAAATCACAGAGCTGACCTCAAAAAAAAAAAAAGTTGGATGCGTTTTTGGCACAGACCTTTAATCCCAAAACTGGGATGCAGAGGCAGGTGGTTTTCTGAGTTTGAAGCCAGCCTGGTCTACAGATGAAGTTCCAAGGCAGCTATGGCTACACAGAGAAACCCCGTTTCAAAACAAACAAGCAAACAAATAAAAATGTGGCTAATGTTGGGGGGAGACCCCTCTTGTTCACCTCTGGCTTTTACAGGGCAAGCACACTCATGTACAAAAGTGTAAATACCCAATGAAAAGGGAAGAGTTAGTTAAAACTGAGATCCTCAGACAAGCCCCTCCCTTTGTATTGTAAACTTGACAGGGTCTCCTGTAGCCCCCACTGACCAAGCTCAAAATTGAGTATGAGTTGAACTTCTGCTCTTTTTGCCTCTGCCTCATGCCATAAACATTAAATATATTTTATTTGATTAAGAACCCACCCCTGCTGTTTTTTTTCTAAATTATCAGTCTAGGTAAGGGAAGAAAGGAGGATGGAGATAGGACAGTGTGTTTAATCAATCCTTCTTTCATCTCAATACAGCCTTGCAGAGAGCCGTTCTGGAAGCCAGGAGACGAATGTTTCCAAAGCATTTTGCCAGTAACTAAAGAACAGCTTCATTTCTGCCTCATTTTATTGAAAGTCCCGTGACTTTTGATTCTGTCCCCAGTGTTTTCATGTATGCCCCCAGGATGCTGTTTTTCTGTGGTCAAAACAGCTTGGCATACATTAGTCTCAATGGAAAGAAAATTATTTTTAATCTCAGATCCTCTCCCAGCATTCTGTATATAAATGTGATTTTCCAGAAGGAAGAGAAAAATGTGGCATTTTCCAAATGGATTTGAACTTGGAATTCTTCCCACATTCCTCCCCTTCACCAAGTACCAGGGAGTTTTTTGTTTTGTTTTGTTTTTTTAAACCATATAACATATTTAACTGCAGTTTGGAAAATATCCAAAGTTGAAAAATATTCTAAATTAAAAGTTACTTTACCAATCTGGACATGGTGGCACTTGACTTTAATCCCAGTACTCTGGAGGCAGAGGCAGGTAGATCTCTGCATGTTTGAGGCCAGCCTGGTCTACATAGTGAGTTCTAGGACTGCTAGAGCTACATAAATGGAAAAGTCTCAAACAACAACAACAACAACTAAAACCAAAAGCAAAATAAAAACCAGACCAAGCCAACCAACTAACCAAACAAAAACTCCAAAGCCCCAAAACAAGCAAATAGGAATTATTTTATGAGGATAAAAAAAAAAATCCCTAACAATGCATGTGAAAAGACCAATTGCCATTTACTGAGTGACACAAAGAAAGAACTTGTGGTCCCCCGCCCACCCCCCCCCTTCATCTGAGACATGTCTCTCTGCTTTTCACACATTAACCTGTGGGTTCCTTAAGTGCTCTGTGTGCATCTTGCTCTTTCTGCCAACAGAATACAAGAACAAAACTCTTGTCTTCACCTCGGCATCTTCACCTGGCCCAAACTGTGCAGTGAGCAAACTGTATTCACATGAAAGAACAAATAGATAACCAAGCAATCATCTAGATCCTAAAAATCAAATTCCTACTATGGAGCTATGGTAGCGAAGATTATTTCTTGGCGATTTTGGCTGAGGCAGAATAATCTTTTGTTTGTAATGGGCTAATTCAAATCTAATGATGTGGAGGAGGAATTACAGAAGCTGAAACTCGGGGTGCAATTATGTAGGCTCCCTTTTGACTATTTTGAATATTTGCTAAGAGAACAAAAAAGCATGCACTTGCTTTTAAAATAAGGCAAGCATGTGAAAATGTTTGGCATAAAAGTAGGTCATGTATAAAAATATTTTTTCACTAACTAACAAAGAATTCTGAAAACGATGCTAGCTCTTACCATATTATAAAAGTGCTTGTATCTGACCCATGGAAAAAAACAGTACTCTTTTAAAGTGCATGCTCATTTTTAGAGGGAGACATCTTAGATGTGTGCATTTTCTTTTTTTGAAACAGGATATCTCTGTAGGTTTGGAGACTGTCCTGGAACTCTCTTTAAAGATCAGGCTGACCTTGAACTCACAGAGATCCTCCTGCCTCTGCCTCCCTAATGCCGGGATTAAAGGCATGCACCACCACCCCACTACTGCCCAGTGATATATGACATTAAAGTATTTGTAGAACATGATTATTGTTAACTTATGGTTCCTAGTAATTTTAGACAATCAGATTGACATGTATGTACCTTGGAAGTTGTAGAAAACACATTCAACTTTAACAAGTAAGGAATAGAAAGAAGATGGCAGGAAGTATTTTCAAGGGGAAGGTGTTTGCCCAGCAAACCAAAACAACACTATTTAGAAGCCCCTTAGGAAAATATGATCTTTGAAATTTCATTTAAAATGTATTGTGCACTTCCTGATGTTGAAACCGGAAAAACAAAGCAAAACAAAAACCAACCCTCACCCTAGAGACCTTTCATATGGTGAACTTTTTCTTGTTTAGGATGTCCACATCCGGGTCCCATTATCTTCTTTCATTTTTTCTCAGTATCTTCCTCTGGGGAATTTAAGTTAGCTTTTACTTTATGCTTCTATCCCTATTTGTGGGAGCAAGCGGGCCAGTATCACTTTAGTTGTCTACACACTCACTCAGCTATTCCTGGACTGTAAAAGAAGAAAGTAAAAAGCATTTACAGAAACTGGGCCAACCTCTTTGGCCTGTCTCCTCCAAGAAACAAAACCTAACTCATTGCAACAGTAGCCTTTTCTGGGTCTTATAGCATAGTACTGGCCCTCTCTCAACTCAGTTTTATTGTAACCGTTCATAATCTGTCATCCCAGTTAGATTTTAGGGCTTTTGACCGTACAGCACAGTGCCAACAGTGTAATAACATTTAAAAACACTATGGCTTAAATCAAAGCTTCGTGAGAGGATATAACTGCACTAGCACCAAACAGCCAGCCACAGAACAGAAGAAAAGTAGCCGCGCCCGATGGAGATGCTTCTAAGTGGGTTATTTGACATCAACTCTCCAGAAAGCCTGGGCACCGTGTTAGGCATCCGGTGTTCAGTAGCGACTGGAGTACGTCAAACCAGAATTTTGTTGCTGTGAGGGGCTGATTTACGGTGATCGCTTCCTCGCCAATTGCGGTGGACAGGGACAGCGCAGAGGTCTGTGCACCGAGAGGGTCTCCGGTCCTCCCATTGAGTTTGAAGGGAGGCTTGGGGCGCGAGTTTCCTGGGAATACCCCCGCCCCTCCCAGACCACGCCCCGAGCCCAAGCCCCACCCCCAGGCCAGGCCCCGCCCCGCCCCGCCGCCGCCGGCAGGGGTCGCGCTGCCCCAGGCGAGCGGTGCAGGCGGGGGTGGGGAAGCTCCCGCAGCCGGTCGCTCTTCGCCGCCGCCGCTGGTTGGATCGTTTCAATAAAAGTCCTTTTTTTTTTTTCCTTTTTCCTCCTCTCTCGCTCGCTCGCCCCGGGGAACAGGCGGAGGCGTCAAGCCGCAGCCTCCGAGCGAGAGAAAGCGACGCGCACGCAGACGAACGAGAGCGGCGGCTGCGGTCTCCCGAGCGCCCCACGGTCCGGCAGCCCCGCGCCGCCCCGCCGCCTCGCTCCGCCCCGGGCTCCGCGACAGGGGAGTAACTGGGCCGTCCGTGCGGCTCCGCGGCCCGGGAGCCATGTTGAGCGGGGGGCTCGGGCACGCGTGAGGCGGCCGGCGGCCCTCGCGGAGCGGAAGGCGCGAGGGGAGGCCTGAGCCTGAGGCGCCTCGGCGCGGCCGCCGCCACCGCCGCCTCCGCCGCCGGACCTGCATCCGCTCGCTCGGCGCGCCTGCACGGGGGAGTCCGCGTCCCCGCACTTGCTGGTGAGTTGGCGGCGGGGTCGGGCAGGGACCGCGACGCCTGTCAAGCCGGCGGCTCGGGCGGGGACGGTGTGGATCGCGTGTCCGCGCGCGGCGTGGGCTGCGGGAGTGCGGAGCTGGTGGAGGCGGCGGTGGGGTGGGGGTGGGGGCTCCCGTCGCCGCCGGAGGTCGCTGCCGCTCGGGGCTCCTTGGGAGGCCGGTGGCCCCCGCGGGGCGGCGGAGGGGAAGAGGCGGAAAGTCCCCGTAGACACAAAGGTCCCCGGGGCCCGGGTGGAGGCGCGGGCGCGGGAGGCGGGAGTGGGCGAGGACGCGGCGCTGCGGGCTCCTTGGAGACGGCGGAGGCTGCGCGCCGGTGGGCAGCTCCGCGGGGGAGGAGCCCTCGCGTGGGGAGCCGGCCGACACAAAGCTCCGGGCAGCCCTCTTGCTGGCGGGTCACACCCCTGAGGGTCGCTCCAACCCGAGGCGGAGGGACTGTGGGAAACCCGGAGGACTCGGGAGGGGGGGTTCCGCCGTTGTCTAGGCTGCTGCAGTCGCTTTTCGCAGTGTTTTATGTCCGGTGCTTCTGCTCCCCCTCTCAGCTGGGTGGCCCCGGATTTTTTCTCCCCCACGTCACCCCCGCACTGCCACATCGTCTTCCCCTGTGGTTTCCCACTCGTTCTCTCCCCCACTTTTCACCCACTCCTTCTGGGTTAAGCGGTATTTTGCCTTCAGCTAGGAGGACGTTTGCTAATGACAGGATGCCGGACTTGTCCTGACCCTGAACTGCCTTGAACTCTCCTCTTTTACCCCCACCCTTTCCTTTCTGGGATCTACGGTGTCACATGGCCATTAACAATTAGCTTTTCTTCTTCAAAAATGGCAAAAGCATTTAGCTGAAATCCTTGGCGCCTCTTCCTTATGTTAATGTGGCCATCGAAGACGCGTCAGTGGTCCTGTTTTTATCGCCTCCCAGGCTAAATTGATTTTCAGGACAAGTGGCAAATTTTGTTTGGAGTCTTGGTTATTCCTTGAGCCAGCAAAGTGTATTCTTGGTGGTAGACCTCCTGTCACTTAACAGGAAATGCTTGACTTAAAGACAGACAATTCTTGTCCCACAACTTCACTGTTTTCTCTTTTCTGAGCCTTTGTTGGATTTCTTTTAAACGACATTTGTACAAGAATATCAAAGTAATAATTCCGAGTGACTGAGAGTCACTTTGTTAACCATGGAACAGAAAAAAATGAATGAGACCTCTGATCAGTTGAATTGACCTGAGCATTTGAATGTAGAAATAATGTGCAAACTAAGTTTTATGAGAAAAATTTGCTAGTGGTAATATAATTGGTTTTATTTTGTTCTTTTATGAACCTAACGAGTTACCTTATGTATTAAGTGTGGTGCTGCCTTGTTAATGAAGTCATTTGGTTTTTGTCGTTCTAACATCTGCATAAACTGTGGGTTCAAACAAAAGGGACAATATGAATGAGGACTTTAACTGTGTGTGTGTGTGTGTGTGTGTGTGTGTGTGTGTGTGTGTGTGTGTGTTGAGACTGGATATAGGAATGTGAAGAGTGTTCTATTATCTGGCAAACCATCTCACAGATCAGAAGTATTAACTGTTTGACTGCTGTGTTTCAAATGAGTGTTGCCGAACCTTTGAATTCCTTATTGCTCAAGGACTGGCTCAGCGGGCAGGGGCTTTGCCCGGGGCCTGAATTCAATCCCAGGAACACAAGCAAAGATGGGAGGAGAGAATAACTCCACAGAGTTGTCCTCACTTCCACATGCCCATACACATCATGCAAATAATAATGTAATTATAATACATATCTTTAAATTCCTATGCAAACAGGAGCTTTATCTATTTTTACAAAGAAAATGAAAACGTTACTGAAAATATGAACAAGAAGAAAGTAAAAATAAAGCCTGTTTAGTGTAGGTGCAATAATTTTGGTGTTGTCTTAAAGAATGCTCATATGTATCTTGCAGTTTACTGTCTTTAAAGTATTGACATTAAAATTTTAGGCATTTCAGCTCCAGGTTAGTGTGTATTTTTCAACTTCCTATCCCTCCTCATACCAAAATGTTTTAGAAACCTTTGTGAAATTGACAGGTTTGCATTAATTGATGCTTAATATATTTATAAAAGTGTATATTTTTCCTGCACACTTTCTACTTACTTAGATAATAAAAAATTGTGTTGCTATAAGGAAATTTACCAAAAACCTAATAAATATTTCTGGATGGTGGGTGGTTGTTTATTTCTTGCCTCCATTTTTTAAAAAAAGTTTTCACATTTTTACAGCCAGGAAAAATACAGAATTAAAATTTTACAAAATGGGGTTATGTAAAATACGTAGTTTATTCCCATACTTGGATTCGGGCCTAAGAAAGTAATTTGGTGTTAACTATATGTATAACCTGTACTATATAAGTTGGTTATTAAAAGGACAAAAGTACATAGTACATAGTAAGGAAAGATGAAGTTGGAATAATTAAATATGCTTGTTAGCTTTGATGCTGCTAATGGCTTCTAAGTCATTGATTCTACAAAGACTAGGAAACAGAAAGTCTTTGTTCTGGACCATAGCTTAACTATGCTGAGTACAGGGATTCTAATGTATGTTTTGATACATTTAGTTTTCAGATGCTGTCTTGGGCCTCCAATTATGATGGGAAGGTGTGGTGTGTAAGATCATTTGCTTGCTCTGGTAAGGCTTGTGTCTGACCCCGGGCTTTCAGCAATCCAGCTTCCTTTTCCTCCACCGATGAAATAGAGCTGTGGACTGTTAAGCTGTGCAATGCTTAATGGTGAACAGTACACAAGCTACTGTAGCAGCAGAGGAAGCTACTCAAAAACGGGAGGTGATGATGTCTCCCGATATTAAAGCTATCTGGACATAGTATTTTCTGCCCGTTTCCTTTGTCATTGTCTCATAGTCTTTGATATTTAAAAGATGTTACATTCTGAATCGTTATATCATTGCTACTTAGTCTTTGTACAATTACAGCTTTGTGTTCTAACAGTTTTCTACATGGGTCTTCTACTTTGAGCATAGATAGTTACTGAATAAAATGTATTTCTGTTTTGGTGGGGAAAAGGTCATTATATGTTAAACCCTACTTATAGAAATAGTCTCTGTGGTATTTTAGAAATGATCTCTCCTTTTGTGCTTGCAAAGGAAGAGTAGTTTTGAATTCTTTTGAATTTGAAGTATTCTTGCTCAAACTTTTTAATACTTGTTTAAAGCATATTTTATAAAATGATTATATTTTCATTTCCATTGCTAATATAATGGTATTTAAAATGTGCTTTACATGGCACTTGTAAATACTAGAAGACCCATTCCACAGCTTGCTATCAAAGTTAAGCTGTCACATAGGCAGTTTCTTTGAACTGCTAGAAAGAGGACTGATTACAACAGGCTTCAGGGGATCTTCCTGTTAGTGGATTTGGTGTAATTTTGCTCACAATATAATCAATTGGTGTTTAATGTCATATGTATGTGTTTACTGTTAATGTCTGCAAAATATTGACCTAGGAAAAGGAATAGTCAAGGCCCTGAAAAAATACCTTGTGTGCAACTTTCTCTTTCTGCTATGTGTTGCTCTCTCTGCTGACCAACTTGCAGAATCAATAAACATCTACCATAAATCTAATGTTTTATGGTCTACAGTAACATATCATCAGCGTAAACACTTGTTTTGAGGAGGTAGATTTACAGATCCACAGTGTGGCAGGATAGCTTGCCTAGCAGAGGGCACAATTAATGTTTAATTACTTTTTTTTTCTCATATGATTGCATGCCCCCCCCCCCAACCAATTCATGTGCTGAGACCCTTAACCTACCAGTTAAATGGTTAGGAGATGGGTTTTGGGGGAGTTAATTTATATTTAGTGAAAACGAGCTTGTTTTCTAAATAATCTTCAAAAATATTTTCTGATACACCTTATCTTGGTCTACTTCATCTTCCATAACAAAATATCACATATTGGTGTGCATCTTATTTTACTTATTTTTTTGGAGGGGGGAGTGTCGAAACAGGGTTTCTTTGTGGCTTTGGAGGCTCTCCTGGAACTCACTCTGTAGACCAGGCTGGCCTCGAACTCACAGAGATCCGTCTGCCTCTGCCTCCCGAGTGCTGGGATTAAAGGCATGCGCCACCACCACCTGCTCAGAAGTTTGAAGTCAGAGTGCCCACTTGGTTACATTCTGACCAGGGCTCTCTTTGTTTGTGGATGCCTGTTTTAACTGTGTGGTCTTCTGGCTTTTTGTTTGGTGCCTGCAGGTGCAGAGGAAGGGGTGAAAAAGGACAGAGGAAAAAAACACAGGAGAGAAGTTTTTCTTACTTAAAGTCCTAACTACTGTTATAAGGACCTTGCTTAGCTCTAACTAGATCCTGCAAGCCTACCTGCAAAACCATTATACTGGTAGGTAAGAGTCAAGACATGAATTTGAAGTCACTCAGACATCCAGTGTATAATGTAAACTATGAGAGAATGTTATTGGTTTTGCCCTGTGCTATGGTAGACACTATTGTTTTGTTAAACCCTCACAGGAAACCTACTATATTAGGTAAACCTTTTTTTTTTTCCTCCTTAAAAAGGAAGTAAAGGCTTTAGCTTAAGTAGTTTTTCCTCAGGGTTCTACTACTTCAGTGACCCAAGATTCAAGTTTGAGCATTCAAAAATGCTGGACCCTACTAGGAGGGAATGTTGAATAGCTCGAACAGCTGCATGTATAGTCTAAGTCAGAGAAAAGCACTCTCAGTGTCTGTAGATTTGTTCCACAGTCCTCCCCAGCCTGCTTTCTGTTTTGGATGTCTGAGACAGTTTTGCTATGTTGCCCATACTAGTGTAAACTGCCATAGCCAGTGTGTAAATTGATTTTCAATCATGAATTTATCAGTACTTTTACACACAGAAGGAATATGAATGCTGGGAAAAAACAAACAGGAGAACCCCCTCCCCAATTATAATTGACATGCATTCACTTTCTTTTCAAGATGTTTATTTACTTTG